CTGCTTGTTTCGTGTTGGTTTGGTGGCGTTGATCTCGTTCATATGATGCGTTGCTACATGCTCATCAGATTCTAACATCGATCCCACATACCGTATTTGCTATAGGAAGTTTTGTTTTTTCTTACTGCATGGTGGAACCCTCTGGCATTAACAGCACCTTGTATGGTGTTTTCATACTTCATGTAAATCTGACCTAAAAGACTAAATTGTACACCAACTTCTTGTACAATCGGGACTGAACTTGTCGTGTCATCCTCCGTGATCCTAAGATTCATCGCACCGTTTTTATACACCAAGTACCACCGTTTCTAAAAGCACTGAAACGCGATGATGTATCCAACACCGCTCCAAACAGCATGAACCGTTCTCTGTAGGCTACGGGCGGGTCCAAGAATGTACGTAATCGCTGAAAACCCTACCCAACCATTTGTTTTGGTAAAACGACCTTTCTGGGTCAGCGTCAAACCTTGTTCAACCGCATTTGGACGTACTCTCTGGACATGCCCTAATCATCTCTATGGCATGCCCTTGGCACGGGAATAACACGCCTTTCCCTCGCATAACTCACTACTATCTTCTCCTTCGTCTCCTCGCATTCCTGACATGGCGAACCACCCCTAACATGCATATTCTCTCATGGCCCTGCATGCCACCATGGCGGTGTGTATTTATATTCCCAGGCTGCGGGCTGTGTTTTTTATTCCCCGTGGACGAAGTTCGACGGACGAGCTTAGTCCTAAACTTTCTATTCCTCCTCCCCCCACCTTACTCCCCCCTTCCCCAATCCTTTATTTTTTTAACCAGGATATCATCTGTACTTTTCCCACCAGGGTGCCTCAGCTTGTCTTGCTTGTCTCATCCATCATCTACGCGGGCATGTGCGCGGAGCATAGCGTGAATAGAGCCGTTAAGGTTCTTGAAAATGGACGCGTGCACGTGCATGGAGCAAATCGTTTCCTTCAGGTTCTGGCTGCTTTGCATGGAAGTCACGACCCTCTCGCACATTCCAGTTTCCCTTGTCACTGTACCTTTTCGACTCGATAGCTGTTCTCTCTCCCCCGCTCCTCCCTTTCAGCAATGGTATCTTCTCGTTCGCCTTTCGTTGCCACAGCAGGCGCCTGAAAGATCCTCTCATCGAAGCGTGATTTCTTGATCCGACGAGACTAGATTTGGATTTCCGTGATTCTGTGTCCGCTCTCGCACACTCGTCGCCTGCTCTCGAAATTCCATTCTAACCTTTCGTTTCCCAATGTCATATTTTTGGCTGGTCGTTGTGGGCACGGTCGTTGCTGCAGCAGCATCGGTGCTTGGTATACCGCATGCCCCCCGCCTCCTGTTGCGCGCAACCCCTCATGTGAGGTGAGATTCGCTGTGGGGAATCTGCACCGGCACAATCTCTCTCTTTCTCAGGCGCCAGAAAAATGAGACGTTTTGTTTGTGCGTATCAGAAGTCTGCATCGCAGCAGGGTGGCTTTTGAGTCGATCGACCCAAAAGTCACCTGTTTCTCAGGCGCCGAGTAATCCAATGCTCGCTCTGGAGAAGTTCATATGTCAATAGTGGATGCGGATTCTGCAATTGTTAACGAATGTCTTTTTCTCTCGGAATAAATAAAGTGGTCTTGTTGTAACCCTGTGTTTCGTCCTCATGTCTGCGCCTCCTCTCGCTGTGGACTCTCTTTATTTGCTTCGTCCGTCCCACCAGCAGCCAGGGGCCAGCAGGTGCAGCCCTCGCTGGATACATGTTGAGCGCTGCTGCCCTTCTCGCCGCTGCCAGTTTGTGGGGACCAGGAGGGGGGGTAGAAGAGGAGGGAGAGGGCGAAAATGAGGAGGGGGGGGACGATGTCGACTATGGGGATGATGATGATGGCAACAGCAGCGACAACGATGGCGGTGGCGGCGGCTACGGTGACGACGGGTGGAGGAGGCAGTTGATCTTGGGTGGAGAGGAGGAGCAGGGGAGGTGGGGCCGTGGGCTCATCCGTCGCATCAACAACCAGGGCCAGATAAGTACCGCCGCGCTTTGTGCTGCCGTCCTGCTTGCAAATATGGTGCCCGAAGGGGCAGTAGAGGAGGAGGAGGGAGAGAGCGAAGATGAGGAGTGGGAGGAGGATGCCGATGACGATGATGATGGCAATGGCAGCAATGGCGACGGTGATGGGTGGGAGGGGCATTGGAGGTTCGGGGCAGAAGAAGAGGGAGAGAGCGAAGATGAGGAGTGGGAGGAGGATGCCGATGACGATGATGATGGCTATGGCAGCAATGGCGACGGTGATGGGTGGGAGGGGCATTGGAGGTTCGGGGCAGAAGAAGAGGGAGAGAGCGAAGATGAGGAGTGGGAGGAGAATGAAGTCGACGACGACGATGATGATGGCAACAGTGTTGGTGGTGATGGGTGGGAGAGGTGTTGGAGGTTCGGGGCAGCGGTGGAGGATGGAGAGAGCGAAGAGGAGGAGGGGGGGGACGATGACGACGCCGATAGCGACGGCGATGGCAACAATTTTGGTGGTGATGGTTGGGAGAGGCATTGGAGGATGGGGGCAGTAGAGGAGTGGGGGAGGTGGGGCATGCCTCGTTGGCAAGACGAGGAGGAGGATGAGGAGGAAGAGTATGAGGCTGGTGATGTGGGGAATGAGGAGGAGGATGGGGAGGATGAGGAGGATCGAAGGAGACGGGTGAGGGAGAATCTGGGTAGGTTTGCGGCGCGTGAGGATGATGGGGAGGTGTGGGATGCGTGGCAGGAGGAGTGGGAGGAGAGGAGAGAGAGGGGAAGGGGAGGTGCCAGTGGCAGGAGAAGGTGGTAGGAGGAGGAGGAGGAGGAGGAGGAGGAGGAGGAGGAGGAGGAGGAGGAGGAGGAGGAGGAGGAGGAGGAGGAGAGGAGGAGGAGGAGGAGGAGGAGGAGGAGGAGGAGGAGGAGGAGGAGGAGGAGGAGGAGGAGGAGGAGGAGGAGGAGAAGGAGGAGGAGGAGGAGGAGGAGGAGGAGGAGGAGGAGGAGGAGGAGGAGGACAGGGAGCGGGGAGCAGGGAGGTGGGGGGAACGGTAAGACAGACGAGGTGGGGGATAAGACAGAGGAGGTGGGCAACAGACAAGATGGATGAGGATACGGGAGGTGGATGGGTGGGTAGAGTAGCAGTAATGGCAGGGGAGGAGGGAGGGGGAGGGGGTGGGAGAGAGCACGGAGAGACGGGCAGAAGAGAAAAAAAGTGGGGAAGGAATCATCTGAGCTAGAAAAGGGGTGGGAAATTGGCTACTGGACTGTCCGATTAAGAGGTTTAGGTACTGGTGGCAGGGGTTGGGCTTGGGGGTAGTAAAGGCAAGAGATTACTTTCGGTTGGGTTGCTTGCATGTTCCACTAGTTGCTTGCGTAAATGCTTGCTTGCAATACTGTTGAGCAGTAAGCACCTGGATTTACGGTATAATGATGTTCTCATATCAAGATACGGTACCGTAGGACCTGACATGGAAATTCATGCCTGCTCTGTACAGCCTTGTTACCTAGACGATGAGACAAGACAAGGAAATGAGAGCGGGAGGAAGAGGGTGGCCGCTACATGGAAATAATGCAGCGACCATCTTCACTGCTGGTTGCTTGGGCTTGAGGGGATTACTGCTGAAGACTCTACAGCAACTTAGCTGGAATGCCGTCCGTAGGCCTCCCTCCTGACCTAGGGTACACTTCTGCTGGGACGCTTCTGGTACACTTCCACTGGAATTCTTGTTCCTCCCATAATTTGCACATGCACATCAGCGAGCGGTGACTTGTGAGCAGGGCTTACTTTATCAGACATTTTTGGTCTGAATTTCTGGATTCTGAACACATTTTTACTGGTTCATCTGATGTCGTAGACATGCTGTTTAGTTTCGTCTGATTTTTCAGAGAAGCTTTTTCTATTCATCTGACTTCTCAGACAGCCTTATACAGTTCGTCTGAGACTGCAGATATCGAGTCTTTTTCGTCTGAAGGCAAATCTCTCGAAGGATGTATGCACCTGCCTGGCAGAGGCAGGAGACAAGATTCGAGCCGGCAACCTCGATCTTCACAACTCCCTCTTCTACAGGCTGGACCATTAGGGCTGGTACATGACCTCCTATTCATATTTGGATAGTATATTGCTTGCTAGCTTTATATCTTCTCAGAAATCTCAGACAAGTATTTCGGATTCGTCTGAAAAGCTAGACAATGTTACAGCTTTCGTCTGACAATCAGACAAGGAGCCAGGACCCGGTCTTGACATCAGACGGGTCATTTTACTAAAGTTAGCCCTGCTTGTGAGGGACCTTCATGGCTGTCTTTCTTTTGCGCTTACTAATGTGGTTTGATCCGCTAAATTCGTACAGGAATGGGGCAGGGCTGATTTTATCAGGGTAATTACCCTGATTTCAGGGTGATTACAGGCTTCTGACTTGGTGGTCCCTGCAAACTCAGTTTTTGTACTTTGTGAACTCTGATCCAATCAGAGAAGCTACTTAAAGCCCGGGTACAGCATGGTAATTTTCAAGTTCAAGATTCTTGAACTTGAAATCGCAGAAAACAGGGTTACCCTACTTGTTTTGAAGAAACTCTCCCAACCCCAGGCAATCGTCCTGCGACAACGGAACCCGAGTGCCCAAAAACAGAACTGACGCGATGATCGCCAACCATATGCACTGTTCACCACTCACATAACTTGCTTACCAAGTCGTACTCATAGACTAGGAGGCTCCAAGGCAAAAACTAGCGCTAGTTGGCAAAAGCGAGTCGTTGTTAGGGCTTTTTTTTTGTGCGGAAAAAAAAATAGGTATCCACCTCAACCATCTTAGTCAGTGCACGCTCCGATTTCCCCCTCACGTCGCCGGTCTCGTGTTACAACCCGTTCACCCGCAGCACTTACGTTAGTGAACAATCGTCGCGTTACTCGCGCCTTGCTTTCAAGCTCGCGTCGCACAAGATGCTCTTATCACACTTGCTGCGGTTCAGCCTCGCGCCCCGATCGTACCGTTTTAGGCACGGGTCGCTCACGCGAATGCCGTACAGGTTCGCCAGACGCGCGCTGCCGTTAGTCTCATATGTTCCCCCTCGTCGGCCGCTCTTTCCCACGTCATACCGCTTTCCTCGTCGCCCGCAATTTCCCTCATCTCCCTCGCCGACCCTCGCCGCCCTCGCCTCTGCTTGTCGCCCGCGCTTCCCGTCGTCGCCCTTGCTTCCCCGTCACCCGTGCTTCCCGTCGTCGCCCTTGCTCTCCCGTCACCCGCGCTTCCCGTCGTCGCCCTTGCTTCCCCGTCACCCGTGCTTCCCGTCGTCGCCCTTGCTCTCCCGTCACCCGCGCTTCCCGTCGTCGCCCTTGCTTCCCCGTCACCCGCGCTTCTTCTCATCTCTCGCTCTCCTCCTCAACGTCTTCGTTTCCCTCGTCGCCATAACGCCCTCGCTTCTGCCCGTCGCCCTCGCCTCCCCACATACCCGCCTCCATCTCCCCCACATACCACCCGCCTTCCTCCCCACATTCTATTCCGCTTGTCATACGCTCTTCTCCTCTTCCTCCCTTCCATCTCTCCCTCCCTCCCTCTCCCTCTCTCTATCTCTCTTTCTTCGAACCTCTCTCTCACCCTTTCTTCCACCCTTCTTCCTCCTGAGGGGAAGGGACTGAATGAGAGACACAGAGGGGATAGGACAGAAGGGTATGCAGATGTTCTTTTCCCCCACGCGCTTCCCCTCATCGCCCTCACTTCCCCCAAATTGTTGCCCCCTGTCTCTGTTTTTCCCCCCTCTGCCCTGCTCCCCCCATCCCGTTCCCTGCTTCCCCCCACCCTCTGCCCTGCTTCCCCCCATCCCCTTCCCTGCTCCCCCCCACCCTCTGCCCTGCTTCCCCTCATCCCATTCCCTGCTTCTCCCCACCCCCTGCCCTGCTTCTCCCCATCCCCTTCCCTGCTTCCCCCCATCCCCTTCCCTGCTTCCCCCCATCCCCTTCCCTGCTTCCCCCCATCCCCTTCCCTGCTTCTCCCCATCCGCTTCCCTGCTTCCCCCCATCCCCTTCCCTGCTTCCCCCTACCCTCTGCCCTGCTCCCCCCCATCCCCTTCCCTGCTTCCCCCCATCCCCTTCCCTGCTTCTCCCTCTCCCTTCCCTGCTTCCCCCCATCCCCTTCCCTTCTTCCCCCCATCCCGTTCCCTGCTTCCCCCCATCCCCTTCCCTGTCTCCGTGTTACCCGTTTCCTTGTCCCTTTTCCCTGTGTCTCCCCACCCTCTGTTCTTATTCCTTCACCCTCGCACACCTTACCGCCTGCCGACCTTACCACCTGCCCACCTTACCACCTCAAATCCTTCCCTTCTCATCCGCGCGCAGGTGTGGCGGAAGGTGCACGTGCTGCCTTGTGCCTGCCGCTTGCTGTCCACGCCTTCTATCCCACCTCTCCCAAACCACGTCTTTTTCTATATGTGCCTCCCCTGCTGGCCCATACCCTCTGCTGATCTGCGCCCTATGAGGCCGTGCCCTCTCTGTTCCCCACCCCTGCATGTACGGAGGGATTGGGAGCCGCTTTGCATAGCAGCCAGCACTGTGCAGGCAAGGATTCGAACTGGTGGATCATGGGGCAAGGGTAAGGGAGTGTGTTGTGCGGCATGGTCAGTGCGGAGTGGCGTGGGAGGGAGGCAAAATGGCAAGCACAGGGTGAAGGCAGGCAGGGGCCGTGGCAAAAATATGGAGATTGGCAGTGTCAGCAGGATGTGCGGCAGGATGCTGGCGGCAGCGCACGTCAGGGCATGTGCGGTGGGGCAAGGCTGGTCTGCGCTGCGGTGGGCCGGGGGAGTGCAGATTGGTGCAGGGAAAGGCACGACATGTTCCTATGTGGCCGGCCGAGACCCTTATGAGTTGCGGGATCTGAGCTTGAGAGTGTACGCTTGGAAATGTATTGCTAATGTGTTTCTTGATATGTAATTTTCATGATTCACAATTTTCTTTTCTATGCCAATTCAGCACTTGAAGTTTTTATGTTATTCTGAAGTGAAGTCTCAAACTTATCCAAATATTTTAGTCGATTAGTAATCACAGGAAATATTGTTCAGTGTACTGCCTCACTCTTACTCGCGTGAGTTTCGCGTTCCCCACCATTTCAACCCCAAGAGAAGCGCAGAGTGCCCCACCAGTGGTGGGGCGGGAGCAGTGCTCTGTCGCACACTGGGTCGTTCGGCCCTCCCATATCCTCGGGGACAGCTGTCGCATAGTATCGTGGCGAAGACTGTTTTTCCCGCCTCCTGAATTCGGTTTCGCCCCACACACATTTTCGAAATTCACGATTTTCAGGTTTTCGCCTAACTGTTTCAACCCCACATAACTTGAAAAATTACCATGCTGACCTCAGGCTTTAACGGACTCTGAAATCTTGTAACTAGGCTCAGAGTAGTGTAGTCGCGGAATCTGTCTATGTAGAGTATGCGTTCCGTGGACCCTGAATGCGAGGGTATCGGGACGAAGTTTCCTCGAAGCTTCCTTTCGATAACCCCCTTGTGCGTAATCATTTCTTCGAGTGGCCCCATGTGAGGTACCCCCTTCACTCGCAGGTTAGTGACGTAATACCGACAAAGGAAAACACCGCCGTGCTGTACATCACAGCTGGCAACAGCGACAACGCAGCCAAATCAATGATACGGTGCTGCCACGCGCACCGCACAGTGCACAGCATGCATCTGCCATTGGCCAGAACGGCCTGTTGACAGCATGCGGTGGCAGCCAAGGAGTCCGTGAATGAATTCGGTCCGTAAACGTCACCCCATTCAATGGGGTAACACACTAGAGCAAGATGGGGGGTTTGCTCTGTAAAATCCCCTACAAAAGAAAGAAGGTGGATGCCTGGAGGTCCCAGTAATTATAGCCACAACCCAATAAGACACCCACAACAACTGGGGGGCCTACTATCAGGTACTACGATATCATTAGTACGGTAGACAAAAAAAAAAAAAAAACATACTACGATAACTTAGGATCCATGACAATGAAGGCAGGATCCATTTGTTTCAAATTTCCCTAACAACGCCCTCTTGTTTATGCATGCTGCATAGCGAGCGCCTCGTCACGAAGCGATGAGAAGAGGACAGATGAAAGGTACCGCTCGCCAAAGCTTGGCAGCACCACCTACCAGAGCAGCACACGCGAAAACAAAGAGTGCGGGGATAACTTCATCAAGAAAGATTCAGAGAGAGAGAGAGAGAAAAACAACCACCACATGCTTCTGAAAATGGAGTGTGCAAATTATAAACATTGGCTGGCAAAGAACATACCACAATGAGCTTCCCAGCATTCTCCGCCCGTTTGGCCACTTCGATTGCTGCCACGACTGCAGCTCCGGATGAAATTCCCACCTGCAGGGAAGAAAATAAGAGTTAGGAGAGGAAGGGGTGCAATGAGGTAACTTTGGAGACAAACAACACCTCGTCAGCTTGATATTTTGTCCAGGAGGGAGAGGAATGAGAGACAGTAGGGAGCGTGGAATGCAACACACTATGCAACACACTATGCAACACACTATGCAACACACTACGCAACACACTATGCAACACACTATGCAACACACTATGCAACACACTACGCAACACACTATGCAACACACTATGCAACACACTATGCAACACACTATGCAACACACTATGACTGCACCGGGCACCATGCACCACCTGCGTGGATACAAAATGGAGACCTAGCACAGGATGGAAACAGCCTGATATAGTAGCAGGGTGTTACAGTCACACCATCTCAACCGTGGCTGTAGGTCACAAGAATGCAGAAAATACTTTCTCAAAACCATCTCAACCGGATGATACCATCTCAGCGGCATGATACCATCTCAATGATCTCAACGGCACGATACCACCTCAACGGCACAATACCATCTCAACCGCACAGCACCACTTCGGCCAACAGCACTCACCAGCAGCCCTTCCTTCTGCGCGAGCTGCTTTGCCATCTCCACTGCTTCGTCGCTGGACACCTGGTCAGGGCGATATAGAGGAGTGAAACGCAAAAAGGGTGTTTCATTTAGAGATTTACAACCTCCTTTGCCATCTCCACTGCTTCATTGCTGGACACCTGCTCAGAGGGAGAACAAGAGTGGGAGTGAAAGCAGAGCGAAAACAGAGACAAAATGCTCTTGACAAAACAGCCCAAAGGCATCACGCTGAGACGGAAAAACAGGCCCACCTCAACACTTTCTTGCACCACTTCGCTGAGCACTCAAGTTGATGGACATAAGACCTCCGCAGCCCACCTGTCCGCTACTGACAGAACCCTAAACCCATTTGCCTGCACCACTAACTTTTGAGTCACCTTGTCCGCTACTGACAGAACCCTAAACCCATTTGCCTGCACCACTTCGCTGAGCAGCCCCAGAACTAGCACTCCCGGCACAAAGCGGACCCCTATTCTACATCCGTATGCCGTAAAGCTTCATTCACATGCATAAGCCCACCCAGTAACGCCACTTACCTGCACTACTTTGCTAAGAAGCCCCACGTCCAGCACTCCCAGCACTTACAAGTTGATTTGATAGCTGTACCCATTCGCCCTAGTTGCTGTAAGAGAAGGTCCGTTTACCTGCACCACTTCACTTCTCTGAGCAGCCCTGCTTACCTGCACCACTTCACTTCTCTGAGCAGCCCTGCTTACCTGCACCACTTCACTTCTCTGAGCAGCCCCACGTCCAGCACTCCCAGCAGTTCCGAATTGACTTGATAGCTGTACCCCACATACCCTAGAAGCCACACTTGACTTGAACCACACCCAGTTACTTAAAAAAAAAGCCCACCTGCACCACTTCGCTAAGAAGCCCCACGTCCAGCACTCCCGGCACAAAGCCAGCACCTATGCCCTGGATCTTGTGTGGGCCTGGGTGGAGAGGGCGAGGAGGGTGGGGGGGGTGGGGAGGGTGGGGTGGGGGGAAGAGAGTGTTCGGGACTAGGACTCATAAGAACAAAGCCGGCGCCTATGCCCTGGATCTTGTGTGGGCCTGGGTGGACAAGTGGGATTAGTGGGGTGAGGAAAAGAGAGATTTGACGAATGGGGGCGCACACAGGCACAAAGTCGGCGCCTATGCCCTGGATTATGTGCGGGTCTGGGTGGAGAAGTGGGAATGGTGGGGTGAGGGAAAGACAGTGGGGTGCGCGGGTTGGTTGGGGAATTTCGGCAGCAAACATGCAAATTTTTTTTTTTTTGTTTTTTTTTTTTTTTTTTTGGTAGAATAATGGGGCCATTGCATAGGATATAGGAGGCATGTATGCGGGTTGCGATACAAAGCAGGGGTATGCCATATGAACGCAGGTTGAAAAGAGAAGTGAAGTGAAAGTGACAAGATTGATAGACAAATGGATGTTCAGATGGACATAATTGCAGAGAACAAAACGGCCTGTGTTGTTGTTCTCACCTGGCCTTCCACTTGGGTCTGTTATTATCACCTGGCCTGGCTTTCCCCTTGTGTCTATTGTTCTCACCTGGCTTTCCACCTGAGATCACAGGGCTTTCTTTGGGCTCCACTCCCACGATCTGCAGCCAATCAGAGAAGATGGAAAAAGGCGATACTCACAAAGGGAATGAGACAATGGTGCACTTGCTAGTTAGTGAGCGAGCCTATCTCATTAGCAGCAGGTTCTCATACACTCCGGAAGGAAGTGGCGCAATCACTAGTCAGAGAGCCTTCCAGCACATCTGGCCTCAGATAGTGAATGCCATGCCATGACTCATGAACGCCTAACCCATCATCAGCCATGCCCCATGACACTTTAATCAGCCATGACTCACGACCCATCAGCCATGACTCACGACCCATCAGCCATGACTCACGACCCATCAGCCATGACCCACGACCCATCAGCCATGACTCACGACCCATCAGCCATGACCCACGACCCATCAGCCATGACCCACGACCCATCAATCATGACCCATGACACATGAGTTATGACATGACCATAAAAAAGAGGAAAGGCCACTCACCTTCACATCCGGGTTCTTGCTCCGGAGGAACCTTCCAGCGCCTGTAACGGTGCCACCCATACTGCTTACCAACATTAGAATGCCCACGTGACCCATGATTACGACAATCCTCACCTTCACATCCGGATTCTTGCTCCGGAGGAACCTTCCAGCGCCTGTGACGGTGCCGCCCGTGCCAATCCCCGATACCAGAACATCAACATGGCCGTTCGAGCCCTCCCAGATCTCTGGACCCGTTGTTTCGAAGTGCACCTGAGTAGGGGAGAGAGCAGGGGTGGGGGAGTGGGTGGAGGTTTAGAGGCCAGAGGTGGGAAGAAACCAGAATGTCAACATGGCCGTTCGAGCCCTCCCAGATCTCTGGACCCGTTGTTTCAAAGTGCACCTGAGTAGGGGAGAGAGCAGGGGTGGGGGAGTGGGTGGAGGTTTAGAGGCCAGAGGTGGGAAGAAACCAGAACGTCAACATGGCCGTTCGAGCCCTCCCAGATCTCTG